TCTTTCTTTCTTTCTTTCTTTCTTTCTTTCTTTCTTTCTTTCTTTCTCTTTGCTTATTAAGACAATATTTCATTGTCTTCCCTCTGTCAAACCCTGAGCCCATGGCTTTCTCCAGCACTGCCTGGTAAGATGGAGGGGGAGAGGGAAGTATACACAGGCTGGAAGAGACATGGAAGGACCAGGACAATGAGGAACAACTTTCAGAAACATTAGGGGATAGAAATGGCTCCATCACATGGCAAAGAGGATGAGGAAGGCCACCATCAGGCAAAAGAGCCCCATGGCCTCAGACAGAGCAAAGCCCAGGATGGCCTAGGAAAAGAGCTGCTGTTTCAGGGAGGGGTTCCTGGCATAACCAATGATGAGACTCCCAAATACAGGCCTGATCCCAGTTCCAGAGCTGGCTACCCCCACAGTGGCAGTAGCCCCGGTGAACTTGGCTGTTGCGTCAATGTCCCTTGAGAAAGAGCTAGTTTGGAATCCACCTCTGGGGACAAGTGAGGTCAAGGGACCCGATACTGTCAAAAAGCTGAGGTTCTCATCTGTCTGAAACTCTGGCTGTTTTAGCACCACTGCAGATAATGGCCTACTCATCAGCTGAGAGCTGCTTCTCACTAGGGCAGGGGTAGAGATGAACTTGGCATAGGCATACATTCTCAGGGGGTGAGGGGCAAAGCTGAAGAGCTACCAGCAGAGCAGAGAAGACAGAGAGGGGCTGCTCATCATTTCTCACAGCACAATAGTATTCCACAGAATCTGCACTCTTGCAGTGCTTCTTAAATTGTGGGTCTTAACTCATATGGGGTAGTATAACTGAATGTGGGGGTCGTGAAAAATTTGGCTACAGTAAAAGGTTTCTGAGCATGAAACAACCAAAACTTAATTCAAAATAAAACACTTAATGAATCAGAGATGTTTCTGGCAGCACTTGCCCATGTTACAACTTCACTGTAGCCCTGGTTCTGAACATACAATGTGTGTACTTTGCATTGCGAATGTTGTCTTGCCATGCAACACCAAGGAACACTGCCAGAGACACCTCGACTCAAATTTGAGACTACTGTATGTTATGAATTGTGGTGGTTTTACTGTACATACAAAATTATTAAATGAATTTTGGCTTGGGATTAGGACAGAATTTCCAACAATTTCTGAAATGGCCTTAAACATACTCCTGCCATTTTGTACTGTGTATTTATGCGAAGAGGTGTTCTCAGTATTGATGATTATAAAATCAAAATATCGATCAACTCTGGAAAAACATTGAAGATGCTCTTAGTCATCCTGCAGTATCAAATATTCTGCCAAGATTTACTTCTTTATGTAAAAATAAAAAAGCACATCCATCTCATTAGTATGCAAATTTGCTATTGTCTTTAATAAGTCATAAAATTATGTGCATACCAAAGAATTGTTTTAAAATAAATTTCTTTGTGATTTGTTATCAGTAAATGTTTGATTCATATACCTATTTTATATATCTATATACTCAGCATCATATAAAAATTTCTTGGGCAAAAAGGGGTCAAGAGTGGAAAACGTTTAAGAAGTCCTGTTCTAGAGCAGTGACTGCACACACTTTTCATGTCTCAGTAGGGATGAGTGAGTAGGACAGGGTGAACAATCATGGATAGGTTGCCATAACAGCATCTTTACTTCTGGAAAGAAAACTCTGTGCTCTTCATGTGTGACCCAAGCCTTCCAAAAACAATTTATTTAGTATAGGTTAAACTAATTCTAAACATCCACAGAGAAAGGAAGAGAGAGATCTAAAAACCAGCAGTTTCCCCACGGCTTTGAAAATCTCTCTGATACAAGCCACTTTAGAATTACATTTTATATTATTATCAAACAATAGTCAAGATTCTTAAAAATTATTGAGGACCCTCCATGGAGCTTTCTTTTTTAACGTGGGATTTGTCAGCATTTGCCGTATTATTGATTAAAACCTCTTAGTACTCCTACTTGATCTCCAGTCTCCCCTGGGAAGAAGAATGGTACCTTCCGCTCAAAGATGCACATTCTCATACCTAGTCATAACTTACACATCCAAAGGATTCTGAACCTTTGTAGGGCATCATCTAAACCCCATTCACCATTCCCTACCACCTTATTCATTATTCCCATTCCCCTCACCCTCTTGCTCCAAAGTCCCAACCAAACACCACCCACTATTTCCCTCTAAATGCCAGTTCCATAGGCAATAAACTTGCCTTCATTCTAAATATTTTCCTCTCCCATTCCTTCCACTAGTCCCTCTCTGGTGACACAGCACCCAATGCTGGCTGTACTCATTCCCCCTTGGTTTACTGGTGGCAGGAGGGGGAATTAGAATGTTCCTTGTTCTCCACGGCTACTTCCAGGTTCTCCCCCTGCCTCCATGATTCAGTAACTT